GGATGATTCATTGAACTTCTATTTTTTTTTAAAATAATAATAATAATAATAATAATAATAATAATAATAATACTCAATTGAAAAAAAATTAAAGCACTTGATAAAAAAAGTCTCTAATTTTTTTTTAAAAAAATAAAAAAATTAAAAAAATATATATATATATATATAAAAATAATAATTGACTTATTCCCTGAAAATACTTTAAAAAGAAAAAAAAAAAAATCTGTGAAGCTGGACTTGAGCAATTGAATTGGGTTAGAAATTAGAAGTGGCATAAGGAATAGTGAATGGATGAAGTGGGCTTTTGTTTCTAACTTGTGGATCCATTTTATTAAAAATAATTGTTAAAATAGTAATAATTTTTTTTTTTTTGAATAAAAATATAAGTCGGGTTCTTAACCCATTCGGGATATCCTGACGAATCGTCACGAAATATTTATTTTGTTTTAAAAACATAAAGTTTGTTGAGATTTAGCTCATCTCCATCACTATAATCTCAATAATAAACCTATTAAGTAATAAGGTGTAGAGATTTAAATGCATAATCTTTGAATAAAACGTAAAAGACTTTAATCTCCGTACCAATGTGTTATTAATAGGAGAATTATTAAATAGTAAATTTGTATAAGGTATGAATTGAAATTGACTATATTTTATTTTAAACCTTACTTTATTAGAAAAGATAGTCTGACTATGTGACACAAAAATCAAATTTGCCCTAATCTAAAATTTTTAATTTTATTTTTGTTCATAAATGGGATTGAGGTTCGCGGTCCAATTTAATCTATCAATTTTACTATGCTTTTTTTCATGTCTCCTTAACAACAAAGGCAAAAAATTTCTATAACAGAAGTAAATAACCAGCAACCTTCATTATTGAAAAAGAACACAAACCCAACAATCTGAATCCAAATACAAGTTCTTCCATGCTTATTTTTCTCATTGCAACCACCTAAGATCAGTTGTTGAACATGGAGAAATTTCACCGCCGTAGCTATCTGCATAACATGAAGAATAGTTGGATTGCTGCTCTATCCCAACGTACCCACCATAAGCGCTTTTGAAGCTCGGACTCCTCAAGTTCTGGCTAAAACCACCGCACCCACCACCAGTTCTGCCGACTTCAGGGTATGATAGCCGCTTCTTCGCCGATCCAATTCGCTCCCTCGGTGGCGTCGATGGCCTATGCCTCGGCGTACTCTGCGACCGAGCCCGAGCCTTGGTTGACGCCGTGGCGGCCATGTAGTTAGGCAAAGGTGTAGCCCCACCATTGCCAATCACATCTTGGCTCAGTCCCTGCCCACACATTGAGCTTAAGCAAGGAGTTTGTGCTGCAGAATGGGAGATTCTTTCTTCTAGTTTTAGGCATCTTGGGCTGGCAGAACGGACTTGAAGAGGCCTGGTCTTGAAGGGAGATGGCGTGGCTGGTGATGATTGGTTGTGATGGAGGGGAGAAGGAACAGATTGTTGGTGGCGGATTTCGGGTGATTGGGTTAATTTTCTTGAGTTTCGAGTAGTGTAAGGGCAAGGTTTAGCTACATCTATTTCTTTGATTTGGTCTCTTTTATCAGTTGAAGCTCTAGTGTAACTCTCCCATGGCTTTGTGGCCATCCATCGATCAAGCCATCTGGTTCTTTCTTCAATCTCCTTCTCATGATCTCCGGTTGATTGGTTCCTCATCCTTCCACTCCTCCATATCTTTACATCAGTAGAAAACAGATCAGCTACCAGATTAACAGTCAAAACACAGAGTGAGAGATGAAACCAAATTAAACCTGGTTAGAAAAAGCATAAGCCAGAGCTTTCTCCCGTTTCATGGCAGCTTCCTTTCTGCTCTGCTGCAAAGCTTCAATTTCTTCGCTTGTCTGCGGGCGATCATCCCACTCGTCAGCCATCCAACTCATATCTGATCTCGACTGGCCCAATTTCACATTAAGCAGTAAGCACCCATGTTGAAATTAAAGCTTAAAACTTTGTAGCTAACTATAATTATAACTCACCATTGATCTTCTGCTACGAATGTCTTGAAGATACCTCGACTCCCACAAGCCATTACTTTCAGCAAACATGGAGTTTCTACCAATTATCCTGCCTTCATGCGAGAGCCTGGCACGTTGCTGATCCAACACCCTGTCTTGAACTCTCAACAAAGCTTGCATGCATTTGAGCGTCAACTTGGTTTGCCGCCGGACATTGTGTCCTCTCACTAAAGCTTGAAGCTTGACAAGCCCTTTGAGCGCACGCAGAGCTCGTCTTCCCTGAAATAATAAGAGGTTTAATTAATAATACAAGAGAATCAGATTATTGGGCGGTGAAATTTTTGTGTTGTGGCTCACGAGGTAGCCTCTGAAAGCTGTTTGAATGACGATCGCGGCCCAATGCTGATTGACTAAACTGGGCGTCCTGGTGAGCCTGACAATCTGGACAGCCGCTTGCGCGGTTGCCACCGCCGCTTCCGCGGCTGCGGCTGTCGCTGCTGCCACCGCAATTGCATGATGGTTATCATTATTCCCGCATAAAATAGGATTCACTGGTGAGGCAACATGATGATGATGATGCCCTGTCGTTGACTTTGCTTCGCATTGTTGACCATGGTGGCTGTTGTTAATATTTGGCTTCCGGAAAAGCCATCTTCTCTTCTCTCTTTTCTGCAATAAAATGTGCGCAAAAATTCTCATAAAATGAGCTTAAGACATACACCGTATGTGTATATGTGTGTGTGTATGAAGAAATACCTTTTCATCGTCTTCTTGGTCCTCTTCTTCTCTTCTTCTGCTACTTTTCTTCTGATTCTCCTTAGTTGGAGACCTGAAGGCCCTTTTCACCATTGTTAACCAGGAAGAACTATTAGTCTTCTTCCCCATGGAGAATAAAAGAAATTAAACTTTTTCTCAGTCAATTACTGCAAGAACGGAGTGATAAGAAGATAAGAGGTGGAGAATGGTAATGTTCATGACAAGCTCCTGAACAACTTTGTCTGTAGAGGAGAGAAGCCAAATCAATGAGATAGATGGACAGACTAAGTTGGTCTTTACATATATATATATATGTGTGTGTGTGTGTGTGTGGAATGGTGCAGAATCTCATTAAGGGTACAAGGTCCAACATATGAGCTAAGGGTTAGGAGTGTTTGCTTGTGGCATGGTGAAAAAAATAAGAAAAAAAGAGCAGCGGAAGTGTCAGATACTTGTCAATAGCTTCGTAATTACTCTACATATATATATATATCTACACAAATTTGTAATATTAAAATCGTTTGTGAGAAGAAGATGACATGAGAAGAAGAGAAGTAGAGTGTTTATTGTTCACATAAGAATCCAAAGTATTCTTGAAAATAGATATCTGTCTTTTGAGCAATATGCATGCTCCTATACATGTATATAAATATAATGTGAAAAATACAAAGACCAAACCCAATCGGCTTCACGTGTTATTATTAAGGTGGAGAGTTTTGGGAATTGGGTTAATCCTCGAAGACGAAGAAGTATTCAAGTTAGAAGAGAGGGCACATCAAAAGTGAAAAGGAATCCAGTTTTTGTGTTGACCAGTCAAAACTGGGACATGTTCTCCTTTCTACTTTCCTAAACTGTTTATGTCTCTACTTTCCCAAAAACAAAAAAAAATGTATAGGACAAAAATCATGCCTTCAAAAAATATATTAGTCCTCTTGGGTCCCAAAATCTTTGTTGTTTTAAGTGTACTATACAATAATATACTATACATTTCTGATATGATGTTACATGGATTGTTAAAAGCTTCATAATTGAATTCATGCATATCAGCTTTTTTTTTTTTTTCTTTTCCCTAATCTTTTGTGTGAATGGTGGTATATACACTAAATTATGTATGGTGACTGTTTCTATTCTTTTATATAAGAGTTCTGAGTTTTGACTTTTAACTTATTTAGCATCGAAGAAGGTTTTCAATTTCAATCCCCAATTGGAAAACATAAACATCACAGTTACTGTGATGTAGTAATCTCTAACTTACAACTAGTTGGTATATAACGATGCATAATAAGTAAAGGACATTACATGATTGCATGGTTGATGTATGGATTTAGGTTTGGCAGCATTAGCCCATGAATTGGCAAGACATTTCAATGAGCTGACAATCATAATGGTGATGCCTACGGTACATACACACATACATGCAGACGTACATACATATATATATATATATGTATGTACGTATATAGATATAGGATGTGAAAGATGAAAAAGTAAAAGGGTGATTTCAGTTTCAGGTTGTGGTGGTGTATGCAGTCCCCACCGGGGTGTGTCATTTAGCCCAATAATAGCCCCGCATCCTCAGTCTGAGACTCTTTCAGTGTTAGTCTCTCTGCAACATTTTGAATTTATTTTCCCTGGAAAATTGCAGGTTGCATTATTTTTTCTTGGGATGATTATCAACATCAAATTCTTGGGCTGATATTAACATTCCCTAACTATTTAATATTTAGATTTTCATGGTCATGACAATATATATTTATATACTTTATTATCAGCTAACAAATTCTCTCATTTATTTTCTATATTCATACGTATTTTATTTACAAAGATATATAATTTAATCATCAATGAAGATAATAATATTGAATAATAATGAAGTAATCATAAATATATTTTTTCTAATTGAAATAAAAGAAACAAACAATTAGCGGTCAATGAAATTAACAAACTTGTCTATGAATAAATAATGATTGAGGACGTATCGAGGTTGCTCCGTTCTAGTGTATCCCATAGTGATGTGGTGGATGTAGAAAGTTAGACGATCAAATATACGTATTGTCTTCTCTATAAATATAAAAGATATGACATTTATAATTATAAGAGAATAATTTTATAGTACGACACTCAGCGATTAGAATTATTCCGACAAGATCTCGTGTAATCATTTAGTTTGAATGTTACTGCATCGAATCATCCTTATTAACATCGTGCTAATCGATCATAGAAGATTTTTTAAAAAATTTAATATTATTTCATAAAATCATTATGACAAAAGAAATGTTGATTCTTGATACTTTGGTACTCCAATACACGTCTGATGTTTCTTGAACTAGTTTAATAAGTGAATTTACTATTATTATTGAAAATTATTTAATATTTTTATTTTTATAGAAGTCAATCAGTTATTGAAAAAATTATCTTGGAACTGGTAAATATCATGTACAGTGATGTTCGTATTCAAATTCTACATAATTCGCTTGTCAAAAGGAAGAGAAAAAAAAATATTAAGAAATTTTCCGTCAATTAACTCTTTACATACATGGATGTTCGTGAGAAGTGGAACATTATTTATCGGTAAAAATATATCTATCACTTAGTTCTTAGAATCAACAAAGAGTATTACTACTTAAGAAGCTAGCTGCATAAATTGATGATTTCATTCGGACCTAACAAATTATGGTTTTATTTATCATCTTTTTAATGGTTAAAAAGGGAAAAAGAAAATTAAACTAGGAGTCTGAACATTAAATTCTGAGTCCACTTTTACATGACAACCATGGCGGCCTCATCATAATGTCTCTGTTAATTTGAATTAAATTTTAGCGCCCAAACTTCGTGAGCCAAACAGTCCCCACCAAAATTTGAAAACTGAAACCAACGTAGTAAATGACTCTTCTATCCTCTGTGAATTGTGAACCGTAATTAATTAAATACTAAACTACTCGCTTTAATTAATTAAACTTCATTAATTACAAAAGCTGTGCCCTGTTTAGATTGCTTTTGTCCTCACTCAGTTTCTACTGCCTGAAATTTCTTGCACGCTCTCTCGCGTTTCTCTTCCCATGTATTCTTCACTCCATTGAAATCTTCGAGGTAGAGTTGAATTTTTTGGTGGTGATCATACGATTAGGTGTTGAAGATGGGTTGTGTTTCCTCCAATTTGCTGAATCAAGACGACGAGTTCGGTCAACTCGGTAGCTCAGCACTGAGTCACCACATTGTTTCCCTCACCTCCACTACGTATGGCCTTCTCACGCTCGATCCTCCTCCACAATCTGAACAGAAACAGTCTCCTTCTTCCGATCAGACGACTCCATTGACTCCACCTCAGCGATTCACCTTCGGCACCATCTTCCCTACCCCGCTAGCTGAAACCAAGTCCGTCTGGTCTGAATCCAGGTCCCTCTGGTCGGAACCGAAGCTTTTCCGATCGGAGCCGGAGGTGATCAACTCGTGGGAGCTTATGTCTGGCCTCGATACAGACAGTTTCCGATTCTCTCCAATTCCTAAAACCCCAACCAAACCCGTTACTGTTTCTGTTGGTTTCAACAAGGAGAACGCTAATCCCAATTTGGCAACAAAGCCGTTAAACGACAACGTTTTGAGATCGGTTTCCTCGAAAGGTAACCACAATTCACTGGAAAGATTCGAGAAATTATGCCCACCAAATGGAGAAGCCAAAGTGGTGATCTACACGACAACGTTGAGAGGTATACGTAGAACCTTCGAGGCTTGCAATGCGGTTAGGGCTGCGGTGGAGAGCTTCGGGGTATCGATTTGTGAGAGAGACGTGTCGATGGATCGTGGGTTTAAGCAGGAGTTGCGGGATCTTATGAAAGGGAAAGAGATAGAAGCTGTAGTACCACCCAGGGTGTTTGTGAAGGGGAGGTACGTGGGTGGGGCTGAGGAGGTTATGAGGATTGTGGAAGAGGGATGGTTCGGCGACCTGGTTCATGGGCTGCCGAAGAAGAGAGCTCTAGGTGCTTGTGATGGGTGCGGAGGTGTTGGGTTCTTGCCGTGTTTTGCCTGTAATGGAAGCTGTAAGGTGGTTCAGGGGAGGAGAAATACTACTGTTGTGATCAGGTGTACTGATTGTAATGAGAACGGGCTGGTGCTCTGTCCGATTTGCAGCTGATTGTTTGATTCTCCATGGACGTTCGGATGAGGATCTTTTCTTTTCAATTTCGTAGTAAGATATCTCATTTTACACTCTCTGAAGTTGCCTTGAGAATGATCAATCTTGTTGCAACTCTTGCTGATATATATTAATATATATGAATATAAGCTTTTCTGATCAATCATGTTTTGGGATCTATTGGGTTTTCATTTTTGATGATTAACTTTCCAAAAACAATATACTAACAAATAATTAAAAAACATAGAAGCAAAATTTAAAGTGCACTGGAATCTGCTAATTTATTTTTACACTATTTTTTAATCAGTCCTGCCTAATTTATTTACTTACTCTTACAAATCTTTATAGTCAAATTGTGTAAATTGTATAGCTAATTGAGGATGGCGCTGTTTGATTCTAAAAACTCATGCTTTATTTTCATCATTATTTTCTAAATTTTATTTTTCATATTTAACAATTATACAATAAATTTGTTTATGTCACCCAATCTCGAGACTACTTAATAATGAAAGTGAAAAACTATGAAGCACCCATATGATTTAAAAGATTTCGTTGATTTGATCAGTGTACAAGTATTTGTTTTAGAAGTTTTTGATTCCAAATGAATAAATCACATATGTTGAATAATAGAAATCATTTATGTCCCAAAAATACTCAGTGATTCCTGATAAAGTAGCCATGGCTTAGATGTTGGTGTTATTAACGGTGAGGACAATCATATTCTTGGATTACTAGAATTCTCATTGCCCTAAACTCTCTCCACCTAAGCAGAGTTCCTAAATTCTTTAAGTCTTATTTATAGAGAACCTTCCCTAGTTACCAAGTCCAGATGAATAAGAAAGCTATACAAATTATGACTTATGAACCAAATAAGAATTAAAGACAAATTTGAATACTTTTATTTCATACTTAACTGAAAATGATGGGTTATAAGCAATAGGACACAGGCCAGGTTCTTTATGGAAATTACTAGCAAAGTGTAAAATAGCTTCCTGACCCCGGAGCTGCACTCTTATGCAAGATCTTTTTGTGTAATGTTGGTTCTTTTGGTGTTTGCCCATATGAGAATTGGTGACATTGAATTGCAATTGGACCGGGTTGGCCCATTACATTGATTTGATCCAATGATAACCGGTAAGCAAAAGAGATTTTTTGGGTTGCCCAGTTCGGCCTGTGGCCATAAAATGAGTTCTTTTTCCTCTCTTAAGTGGTTTGATATAATTATTCTTTGACTGGTGGAAGTGATATCTAGGAACAGGTAAAAGATAGAATTTCAAGCGCACAAATCTTTGATTTCATTAAAACTGATTATCATAAAAATGTCTTTCTTAATTCTTACAGTGGAGTGTGGATGGGTAGTCTAGCTAACGGTATTATTGAGGGACAATTGCAGGTGGGTGTTTTTGTTCTTCAAACCAAGATGCATATATAGACACGTTTATATATGTAGATATATATCTGCATAACATCAGAAACATTATTATCCTAACTTTTTATGTATTATGTTTCTTAATTTTTGTTCTTAATTACTTGGATTATTTTGTATTGACATAAATAGGATAGATGAACCAAGGAAACCCAATTTGAGAGTGGGAGTCCTGCTTTATGAAACTGCAGATTAGGTTAGGTAAAGGCAGGAATTGCTTTATATTGGCTCCATCAAGTTTGAGGTCAATAGTCCTGAAGTTACATATGTATACATATATATATATATATATATTGATGAACTTGGAAGTGAATCAATTGACATTTAATATCGTGGATCTGTTTGATTTGTACTTGTGTAATATTAGTGGAGAATGGAAGTTCTTGGAGGTTAGATTGATTAATCAAATCCCTTTTTTCACCAGTGACATTTACCTTTCAGTCATTGGTAAGTAGGAGACATTAAGTTGGAAAAGATGAGGAAGAAGGATCCCTATTTGTGTATTATATATACTACATAATATTGGAGAAACTGGTTGGATCTTCTGCAATTTTTCTTTTTAAAAATTAAATGTTTAGTGCTTGTAGTTGTATATCAATCTCCCAGATGTTAACTTTAGACTTAACTTCTTGTCCTACTTATGCACCTAACAAGATCATTTCTTGTTTGAGCAGTTTGTGACAAACTTCATAAAAAATAGAAAGATAAAAGAACTGACTGAACCTCTTCTTCATTATACATATATATATATATATATAGATATATTTGAAAGAACGTCTTGATCATATATATATACATATATATATATATATTGAGATTGCAGTTAGGTCTTTTTTTTAAGTTAGGCTTTTTTTATAAATTTATTTATTTTTAACTAAAAATTTATAGGAGTTTTGCCTAAAATGATTAAAGTTAAGTTCATATAAATTCTATATGAAATGAAATAGTACATTCCAAATTCCATTAAAATTAATCGAATTTAAAATATATTGTTCAAATTTAACATGAAATTCTGTATAAACTTTATTCTTTTTAGTTATTCTAATATAATATGTACCTATTTTGCAAAGAAAAATACAATTATATCTCCTAAAAAAAATTCAAAGTTAATTTTATATTATTTCTAAATTTATTGCGAATATAATCTTAATTTTTATGTCTAATTTTCTCATTAGTATTAACAGAATTTTTATGTCTAATAATGAAAGTTCCTATATGCTATAAACAATAATCTTACTTAAATAGTATATTTGCATATCTGAAAATAATATATATAATAAGTACTTGTATATATATGCACAGATACATATACAGAATACAGATTCTTCTGCTGTCTGCATAAATCTCTATGGTGGACTAATAGTATGTGCACACGTGATTTCTTCCCCCTTTTGTTGTGTATATATATATATAGAGAGAGAGAGAGAGAGAGTATATATATTGAAACATTAAATGATAAGTTTCTATTTTTAACTTATTGTGGCTATCTAATTAAGAAAATTTAATTTTAAAATATTTTATTACATAATAAATTGAGTCAAGTTTTACATTTATTACATAATAAATTAATATTTTCAATAAGATTACGTGAATGTTACTTCTATATTATTTCATAAAAAGACAAACGATAATAAAAAAAATACATAAATAGATATTTTAAGGGTTAGCCTCTACTAATACTTTAAGGGAGTTTGGAAAGTGAACTATTCACAACCTTCTTACTGATCGGAATTTAGATTTTGGTATTTTTGATCTGAAATAGTTAATAAAATGATGAGTTATACTAGTCTAGTAAAAATATTATACTAATCACTGATATGGAAAACCGAATATTGATAAAAATCAGAAAACAATTAATGGAATCCTTACTTTAAGTGAATACATTTAACTTTAAAATTTTTTATTCGATACTTACCGTTACGGTTTTTTTTTTTTCAAAATCAATCTATGAAAACAATTAATCAAATGACATTTCAATTTCATGTATAAAATCAATAATTCTTTATTTTTAACCTATTTATTGGGACCCTTAGGGGTTCTTAAGGATATCCCTCTACTCGTGGACTAAGTATCAAGATTTGACAATTAACCTAGTCGTCTCTATACTTTGTCCGATAATGGGCGCTAAAAACACCATTGCCTCGATACCCTATCTGGTATGAGTGTAAACCATATCTCCCAAAATTATTCTGGTATGGGACTTTTCAGCTCCGTTCGACTGAAATAATATCCATGGTAGGATTCTCTATGTACCAATTCCGTCCACCATTTCCTAGGATGGATAGTAAGCTTTTATTTATTTTAATTCTCATCATCTAAACAACCACTAAAATATACCAATGTTTCATTTCATATTAACTGATCAATTTAAACAACATTTAAGCAAACGATATGGTTTATCATAACCAATAACCGAGTAACTAGATAATCGAATGAATAATGCAGGGGGAACTAAATAAACCAGATAATTGAGAAAACTAAAAAAACTATCAATTTAAATATGCACAATATAATAGTAAGCAAGTTAGGCAGTACAAAAAAATAAATAGGGAATCAGAACAAATGTGAACTAACCAGTTTTAACTCTACTAGTGACCTGAAATATTTTTAGAATTTTTCTAATTTTTACAAAATACACAATTATTGATTATTAATCTTCAATTTATCATAACTGAGAATAGAGTGAGGAATCCTTATCCGAATTGGTATTTTCAAACGTCATGCTATCTATTACACCTACTAACGGGTCTCAAATTTTCTGAATTTTTTATGCAGGAGTTCAAAATACTCGTCACGTACATTAAAATACCCAAAAAATATAAAATCAGTGTTAAAAATCCTTTTTAGCCAATTTTAGAGTTTCGGCATGGCTGCATCGCCGTGCTCCGACACTGACTCTGCTGCCCATGACGGTGTCGCCGTACTCCGACACCAACTCTGCCGCCCACGACGGCGATTTACTTCGACCTGGCTAGTTCTGGCCGATTTTACAAGTATCCATGTGGAAAAAATACATTAGGGGGACTTGGTTGGCCAGAAAATCACAAACAATCGAACCTATCAGTGGGGGGGTCTCCGAATGTGGCAGCTCTACTGGTTATCCTTCGTAGCTGAGGTCTTTTCTAAAGGTTCAGAACGTAAAAAGAAATAAATTATAAATAAAATGCGGAAGTGAAATAATAGCGTAAGAGTTTAAAATCTTTACACATTAATTTAGAATATCCAATAAAGGTACGGGAAAAACCCTTTTAAAGGAACAACGAATAATCAAAGAAATAAATGAAAAATAAACAACTAAACATCCTATTCGTAATCCTCTTGTGGATCGGGATCTGGAGTTTGGTCCTCTTGATCTGAAATGGTTAATGAAAAAGTGAGCTACACTAGTCCAACAAAAATGTCACACTACTCACCGATACAAAAATAAATATTAGTAAAAATCATGAAAATAACTAATACAACTCTTATTTTAAGTAGATTCATTTATTATAAGTAAAATAATTTATTGTGCACTTATTGAGCAAAATTTTCAAAACTAACCTGTAGAGACAATAGCACAAACAATATCATAATCTCATATTCAATTAACTAGAATAACAACTTTCCTTTTTTATCTATCTACTGGTATCTATGGGGGTTCATAGAGATGTCCCCACTACGTGTAAACCCTTATTCAAGATTTTCAATTAGCTGGCCGTCCTCATACCCCGTCCGGTATGATCGCCAACCATACCATC